AACAGAAACAGGTTAATTAAGCTATAAGAGCTAGTTAGAAAAAAGCCTAAGCTAAGGCCAAGCTATCATCGTTAATAATGAGTCTCCGTGCTGTTATTAGAGGGCTGGTGGTTTCAACAGGAAAGCAAACTATACCCAATTGCACCAGGGAGTAGATCACCTTGGGCCAGCTGACAGGGTATGTTTAAGGTAGGAGCAACTTCCTCATGGCTCACACAAGCTAAAAACACCTGTTTTTAGTACAGTAAGCCTAGTACAGTAAATTTATCCTCTAAACATACTGTTTACCATTACAAAGGGAGCCCAGTCATTAGGTTATTCAGTGATGTAAACATCAGTGTGGGAATTTGAACTCTTTTTTCTGTTTGTGAATAAATATTTCCATGGTGTAATTAGAAAGGAGAGAAAGAAGCCTGGTAAGAATAAAATGACACCTGGGGAAATAACAATCATAAGAAAGTCAAATCTTTTACAGAAAAAAAAGTACATTTTTCCTTACAGTAAAACACTGGTATAAATATACTTATACAGTTTGTTAAGTGGTTACATTTCAGTGGTAAACAACAAACAATATGTGTCTCTACTCCTTTGCTCACACTTTTGTGAAAAATCTCTACTTTTTAAAGTAGATGAAAGAGTTAATCAAGGGGCCAGATAATCAGTAGTTAAAGTATTTGTTGTATAATGATGGTGACTGCATTCAGATCCCTGCACCCACTGAAAAACCACACATCTGTAACTCCAGCTCCAATTTAATTCTTCCTACTGTTTTCTAGGAATGAGTTCAGGGCTTGTGTTATTGCCAGGACTATCACCAAGGTAGTGATGTGTCTTTTTCTCAATGAATCTGTAGCTGGGAGTTTTCCTGCATCCTGCCTGGTCCACAGCCACTCAGACCCAAGTAAACATACAAAGCCTTATATTAATTAAAACTGCTCAGCCATTAGCTCAGGCTAACTACTGACTAGCTCTTACACTAAACTCAGCCCATTTCTGTTAATCTATATGTCGCCACATGTTCCGTGGCTTTACCTGTGTGACATTACATGCTACTGTAGACTGCAGACTGGTCTCTCTTGACTCAACCTTCTTCCCAGAATTCTCCTTGTCTGCTAATCCTACCTATACTTCCTGCCAATCCAGGCCAATCAGCATTTTAATAAACCAGTGTACAAAAGCATTATCCCACAGCACGAATCCTATTTACAATCCTGAGATTTGACTTACTCTCTTATGGCAATATACTTATCCTTGGTGTGTTGGTACCTGTTGTACAACAGTTTCCTCCAAGATTAAATCATTCCGCTCTCATGGGAAGCTCCTTAAGTGGGAAGACAAACAACTCAAAAGCTCAGAAAGTCCCTGAAACTGACAAGATGTAGTAGGTAGCTGTTCCAGCTTTGACCTGGAAGTACTACCCCCAGTGAGGTTTCCGGTAACTGTCATGCCTACCTATGTCCTGCCCTTGAGGCAGAGCCAAGATGGGAGCCCTTAAGACCTGAGATCCGGATGTGCTGCCTCTCTTGGTTCCTGGTAATCCTGGATGAGGAATGGTAGACCCGGCATAGTTCTCCGTAGAATACCACTGGACAGCACTTCACCTTTCCCAGGCCCTGTAACCTATCTCTTTACTTGTTAGTTACCCCCTTTAACTATGTGGTTGCCTTAATACTTCCACCAGTATCTAGTGCCCAACATGGGGCAAACTCTAAAGGGCTGGGTGGCTTCTACCCTTAGCCTCCTCTGTGGCTGCTGTGCCACACTTTTCTATACTTACTACACTTCCCTGTCTCTTCGTTCCTGTCTCTATTAAAATGCCAACCCTTCTTGGTGACCAAATGCTTACCCTTCAGCTTCCTTTGCTTCTTCCTTCCCAGCTGTCAGGTACCTAAACCTGCCTGCCAAGTTCCATATAACCAGGGAGCACCTCCACGGTTCCATTCCCAAAGAAAGGGAGCAGCTATGTCCAATCTCAGTTCCCCTGGCAAACTTAGTCCCCAAACTGGCAAAAAATGCTATGAGTGAGGTGATCCCCCCACACACACTCCCTGCACGCAGGCTTCCTGCATTGCCCCAAAGCTTCCACAGTCTCACCAGGTTAAAATAGATGCCACACCATCCACCAGACGGCTCCCTGAATGTGCTGCTTCCTTGGCCGCAAAGGCACTGAGAAGGACTTGGAGTGGCCTGGAGCTGTCTATGTCCTGAAGCTCCAGGGAGTCACAGGAAGAACTGCATATTCTGCCTTGTGCACACTCTGCTCCCTCCTGCAGCTACCACCATCCAAATTCTTCCACCGAACCTGCTTTAGAGCTACACCAGAAACATCTGCTGACTGAAAAGCACTACTACACCATTAAAAGTGCTACTATACCATTGAAAGCAAGGTATGACAAGCAAGCCAGTGTTTAATTTCAGGTAAGAGTACTTGATAATTTTATACCTTGAAACTGACTAACAAATTTTGAGTAATTCTTATAATATGACCAAAAACATTACCTCACAAGAATTTAAAACCTTTTTTTGCCTGTATGATGACTGACATTTTTCTGGAAATATATGACTTTCCAAAGGCATATCTGGCCTGTACCCTTTTTGCATTTACCATAATAATTCACACAGCATTCAAATACCAGTTTAATAATAATAACAAAGATGAGTCATTATTGGGACTAATACAGGCTGTAAAAGATAGTAATGAAAGCCTACATAAAAAGATTCTTTCTCTGGAATCTGCTAACCAGGATTTACAAGACAGTAATAAAGATTTACAAAACAGTCTTCTTAGTTTTGAATCTGCTAACTTAATGCAAGAACTTTAGTCCATTAATAATAAATGTATAGCCAAAATTGATTTTATTGATAATAAATATGAATATCTAATGGATAGAACACTAACTCTCCAGAGTGAAGTTATGGCTACTCAGATACTACATAAGGAAGAAAGATTATCATTAACTGATAAAATAAGGTCTGTGGAATCATGTGTTTCAGAACATAAAGGTCACATGATTTCATGAGAAATCTGGAATCCCTAGCAAGAGAGGAGGTTCACTCCCTAGAACAGGCCCTAGGTGCTTGTTTGCAAGCCCTGGGAGAAACTCTCAATAAACATGACAAGGGACCTAATAAGCACAAGGGCAAGACCATACAGGTTGTAACATCTCCAGATGGCTCTCATACAATGGCTTATCCTGTCATCATCCATGAAAGGCTAGCAGATGATACACACCCTGAGCCATATGTGACATATACATTACAACCAATTTCAATGAGGGACTTTAAAAATATGAAGGAAGCAATTGTCATGTATGGGATACACTCAACATATGTTGGATAGATGTTAAATTCATGGTCTGCCTCACATAGAATCATTCCAGATGACTGGCATCAGTTAATTTCAGCTGTTCTAGAATATAGCCAGCAGTTACAATAGAAAAGCTGGTTGAGAAAAGAGGCAAGAAATTTAGAGCAACAAGGTAAACTCAGAGATTTTGAGATCTCCCAAGATCAAATTCTTGGTTAGGGATGTTTCGCTGATAGGAATGTACAAGCCACTTATGATGGGCCTACAATATCCCTATGCTGTACAGCAGCTATAAATGCTTGGGAAAAAATTCCAGAACAAGGAAAACCAACTGAGGTATACACAAAGATATTTTGGGACTGCAAGAACCCTTCACTGATTTTTTACAAAGGCTGACCACAGCTGTAACAAAAGCTGTGTCAAATAAAGAATTAAGAAAAGTTAATCCTTAATAGTGACTCCTTGGCATTTGACAATACTAATACAGAAGGCAAAAGAATACTTACACCATTAAAGGTTAGATCAGCTCCTTTGGAAGAATGGATTCAGTCTACTAATGGTATTGAGTCTCTTAATGACAGTAATGAGGCTTGGATAGGAGAGGCAATTCTCATAGGTGGAATAAGGGCACCGGTACCAAATGTTTTAAATGTGGTACACCAGGTCGTATAAGTAAAAACCCCCTCTTTGCCAGAATAAGCAGTAAAAGCTAAGAGTCCCTCTCAGGTGGAAGGAAGCTGAGCATCAAGGAAGACTCTCACAAAAGCCACCTTCAGACCAACTACCTGAAAGAAGCAGAAACCACCAGCTGCTTAAAGAGGTTTAGATCAACTGAGCCACCCAGAAAGGACACTCTCCAGCCTGTGGAGTTGCCTGCAGGGTAGGCAGTGTTTCCAAGTTCCCAGCTTTTGTGAGCTGTCATTCATGCTGAGGGTGGGTTGTGATGATGCACCTGTCTTTGAGTTATTTCTGCTCCTTTAAATAACCCTGCACCCATATTACTGTAAGTAACCCCAATAAAACTTATTAGTTCACCAAGTTGGACATTGGTGGTATCTGTATTTTGATCTGTCCAGGGTTCTCTATCTGGGGAGAGTAGATATGCGTTTCATTTCCCCATGAAACGTTTTGACACACAACAGTACCTACTGGGTTTTATAACTGTAAAATTCTATTTTTTCTTTGTAATTAGTAAGCATATCATGAGGAGCCATTTTGACGGGCAATTATATTTGGTTTTCTATTATTGACCCTGATGGACAATTTCCTAAAAGACAAATGTATAGATGTAACCAATCGTCTTATTAAAATAAGAAACACAGACCAATGTAAAAGAGAAAGCTGAGAGGTCAGAGCTCAAAGATAAAATCTTACCTCCTGCAGTGCTCCTAGCTTCCCCGAGAGAGAGGTACTTCCTGTTTGTCTGTGTTTAAATAGTCTTTCTGTTCTGCCTTCTCATTGGTTGTAAACCCAACCACATGACTGCCTCATCACTGCCTGTAAGTACCGCCCTCCAGGTCTTAAAGGCGT